AACCCTGACTGAAGCACCCTTACTAATATTGTTGTTTATTCAATGTTTTTTTAAAGAATGCCATAGAAGCCCTAGAAGGTAACAGCCTCGATAAAAGGTGAATCAAGGGTCCATTTTGTGGTCCAGACACTTCTGTAATAACAGCAGGACACAGAGAACTGTGAAATCCAAAGTAAACCACTGAAGTGTGAATGTGCACATGGTCAATAAAGGAGCACAAATCCATCACACTCCCCTCGCCGCAGGTGCATTATCCATGACTACTTCTAGCTAATCTGCTAGCATGTTTACTACCAGCTGTCCTAGATATTATCACAGTACCATCTTATATAGACCGCACTGGCTATAAGTTTGACAGTGTTGTTTTCTGTGTTTTTATCACACACTGGATCTATTTCAGTAGTAGTATTAGTAGTTTTTTATCTTTCTAATGTGCACGTCAGCAGCGAGCTGTTGCCTCTGCATTATCTGACATTTCTCCAAAACAGAGCTGCTGGGACATTTCGGAATTTGAGGGAAACGTCTGTGAAAAGATAAGAGACAAGTCTTCAAATTCTGATTAACCAGAAGTTGTATGTATGACTATTCATGAAGGGTATATATTGTGGTCTTAACAGTCTTTTTTATGTCATGTCTGTGTAATTAGTGTCTAATAATGCATCTTATTTAGTGCATGTTTCTATTAACATGCATTATGTGCTTTTGCCGTATATACAATGCCGACAATGCAGTACATTATTCTGTGACAGGTCCAACTGTACCCTCAGTGTGTCCTCATCTGGCTGCCGCGTCTCAGTGAGCGGCGAGGGCGTGGTCGAGCTGAAGCTGTCATCAGTGAAGTCGATGAGCGAGACCTCGCTTTTGGCCGAGCGCACGCCGGACCCCTCCCACGGCCGGAGCTTCAGACCCAGGGACACTCCTAGCCTCTTCAGCCCAGACGAGGCGCTGGTGTCGTCATCGTCGTCGTAATCGTCCATCACGGAGTCGTAGAACGGCTCTGGACACAAGCAGACACCAGAGTCAGGAAACAGTAGCAGCATGTATATAAAGGAGGGGATGTAGACTACAGGCAGCACAGGGGAAACAAGAGAAGAACTTACTCTTCAGCAGAACGGCAGGTTGGGGTGGACGAGGAGGAGGTTGCTCTGATAAAGACAGTTTTAGACATTTAACTTACATTCACAGTGTGACTTCAAATGCCTCTAACAGAAGAATGAGCTCAGTTTTTTACATGATCAACATTGTGAGCTAGTAACAGAGAAGTACATGTACAAACACTGTAAATAAATGCTATATGTTGATATATGTGTTTAAATTTATGGGTAAATTTACTCTTGGCACGGTTAGGGAGTTTGGTCGGCCTTGCAATGCCCGAGTCCATTCCAAGGACATCAGGAGGGTCCATGGGGTTCCCCAAATACAGACTGAAAAGGAGCAGATAGAAGAGATAAACCAGATTTAACCTATTATTTCTTTACCAATTACTCCTTTATAGTTGCTACTATACGTTACACAGTTGTACACATTTTACTACTGCAGTCGCTATTACTCTGGACATTGAGGCTTATTGAGTTTCTCTGAATCTGAGTGTTCATTCTGAAAAGGAACAAGTACAACATCTGTTGGTGAGCTAGAGGTAATGCACTGCTGCACTGCAGTGGACAGTAGTGGAAGATGTTGCAATACCACATTGGAAAAATGCTCTTTTATAAGTATTCAAAAACTTACTAAAGTAAAAGTACATAAGTATTGGTATCAAAATATACCTAAAGTACTCAAATGCAAATGCCATTTTCAGGATCATATATATTATACCCCAGGATTATAATTAGTGATGCATTAATATGCAGCTGATCAGTGGTGGAAAGTTACTAAGTACATTTTTGAGGTACATGTACCATTTTATGCTACTTTTAATTTGGAGGCAAATACTGTACTTTTTGCTTCACAACATAAATTTGTACAACATTAGTTACTTTGTTGATTCAAATTAATAATACAAAATATAATCAACAAATGAATTAAGTTTTTATTTGGAAATTATAAAGGGAGCATTTTAGATTTTTTCATTAAGAGGGTTCCAACTAGCGTTTTTCACTCAAAAAGTAGGCGTGTAATAAGCAGAATTTGAATTATATTTTGTTATATATCAAACTATATTCATTTATCATACTTTTTTAACCTTTATTTACTCAGGGAAGGTTCATCATATGTCATATATATATTATGTTATTCTATTCCATACTATATGACACTGCACAATATAACATGTTATACTGTTTTATTACATTATGTACTACACTATATTTCTATATTCTTATATATCTTATCTTAAAATTAACCCTAAAATAAAACCTTCCATTTACTTTTTTATTTCACATTGTATGATTAAGACTGTGTGGTGACTTCAGTCAGTGAGTATTATTAACCTGTCTATACGATCTGCATGTCCCCAGCTTCTGTGAGGGTCTGTGTCTCCGTGTCCAGTGTGGATAAAGGAGTGTTTGAGCGGTCGGCTGATGTCGTGGGCAGACAGACCGGCGACCGACGTCACCACGTGTCGAGGAAACTGACCCACACGCAGCGTCCCCCTGTTCTGACCTCGCCACCAGTAGTGCTCTGCCCTGAAAACATATATGGACAAACACAGAGCTATGAATAGTTTAATCTGTATGGGATTTCCCTGAGTACATCATACTGCTTCTGTCACACTTTTTCACTTATTTAAATGCAATTAAATGCGGAAATCAAGCAATATCTTGAGACATGAGCAAAACACATGTGTGTCTGTCCTTTTCGAAAGCCACAATATTTCTATAATGAACCAGTAACAGGACAGTAATTACAGTAATTTTCCACAATGCAAGGAATCCAATGTCAACAAAAGATGCATTTGTTGTCTTGCGGGAGTGATCCTGCACCGACACATGACTTTCAGAACAGTCACACACTGACCTTCCCTCTATGATGGTGATGACGTCGTTCATTTTGATCTGGAGCTTGTCTTCCTCCTCAAAGTCCTGCAGCGCTCTCATATCTGTAGGCATAGTCTGCAGAACACATACGCACTTCGAGTTTGAGCAAAAAGCTACAAGAGTCCAATGAATTATTACTGTCATCAGCAGGAACATAGAGACAAAAAAAAAAATACTTCTGCCATTCTGTATGATGATGATTTATTTGTTTCCACTGGCTCTCCCTTCAGTGTCCTTTATTTGTCCCAGACGTCACTTGAGGACTACTTTTTGAATGTCTAGAAGCCAACCCTATCTCATCCATTAACCACAGCTATTAAAAACATTATGCTAATCGCTAATGCTTAATTGTTAGAGTAAAGCAAGCTGGCAAATGCTTCTTAAGCTACAATTTAAAAAAGTATCTGGTGCACCTTATAAGAAAATCTTGATGTTTTTCAAGATTACTTCTTCATGAATCATTTCAATCACTTCTCCAAAAATTAACACAAATTCGCCCCTTTATATTAACAATATATATTTAGCTACTACTTCCTATATCACGCCAAGTTGTGCGACCCTCCTGTAGCTTTCAGTCATTTTAAACATTTCTCTTTCAGTCCTGCCAAAAGGAAACACAAGTGAACCCCTACTAGCTAGCAATTTTAGCTAAATGATTCATATAAAATGTTGCTAATCTGGAAATCTATGGCCGAATGTACTGTAAGTTTTGTTAGTGTCACACTTACAATAGCCCACAGAATTTTGATTAATAATTCAAAATTTCCCTCTAAGCTGAGCTTGCAGATATAACCACAATTCTAAATGATCACATTACTGTCCACACTTTACAATAAATAACATTCTGTCCTCTCTTGGTTTACATTAACTGTTTATGAATCTCTGTCAAAGACATATTGCCTGAATAATGCTGTAACTACAAGAGTTCATTCAGTTTTGTTTCAACTGTAACTACTATACTATACTACCTCGAGCAGGAAGTCTCTGAGGGCGACGAAGGTCGGTCTGTCCTCAGGTTTGGGGCTCCAGCACTGCAGCATGACGTTATAAATATCCTGAGGACAGTCGTCTGGTTTGCACAACCTCTCGGCCTCCACGTCAACCTTGTGGAGGATCTGCAAACAGACATAAATTACAGAATGCTGAAGAACCATTATTACCTGGTGAATTTTTAAAATTGCAATTTGTGTCAATTGTTTTTTGGTTTTGTGTGTAGTCTTTTAAAAAAACTTCATATGCAAGAGTTGATTTTTTAAAACCAAAAACATGAATTTCTTCCACCTTGAACATTTATGGTAAAGTAGAAAAGATGTGTGCGTATATGCATGCACCTGACTCCCATTAAGGCCCAGCCACGGCTCCTGTCCGTGGGTGAACATCTCCCACAGAGTGACCCCAAACATCCAGGTATCAGACGCGTGAGAGAAAGTACGAGACTTCAGAGACTCCGGAGCACACCTGGAGAGCAGCAAGGACGAAGACAGAGAAAAAATAACTGTAAAGCAACACCAGTCTGGAATTATTTCAATAATGATTTCCAGTTTGAATCACTGAGGTCCGAAGCCGGGCTACAAAACAAAAATAACACATCATTCTGTGTGACTGGGATGCTCTTCTCACCATGGGAAAGGGATTTTGTGGCCCTCTTCCATGATGTACTGGTCGGTGTGTGTTGGCAGCGCCCTCATCAGGCCAAAGTCTCCGATCTTCACCGTGTCATTGGTGGACAGCAGCACGTTGCGGGCAGCCAGATCCCTGTGAAGGAAACGCTTCTGCTCCAGGTAGGCCATGCCACACGCCACCTACACACATACACAGTACTAGTTACTCATACTTCTACTCCACTACTATTTGTCTGACAGCTTTAGTTACTAGTTACTTTTCAGATTAAGATTTTTCATATTCCTGCATAGTGGAAACCATATATCTCCAAATTTGGTGAGTCTTTCTAATACCAGTAATATTAATCCAAAAACAAAACAAAACTTCATGTTCTGCTGGATGACTTAAAATAACAGTACACTAAAAATTTGATTATTTGTTCTAGAATATTTTCAGTGCATTTTACATGAATTCTAAACATCCACAGAATGAAAAAACGCGAACTCCAATTTCATCAGCAGAAAATCTAAAGAAGAAAAGAGCAGTGATACATCTCCAGGCACCAAATATGTGATGAAATTATCACTTCCTCTTCCTCTCATGTGTTTTTCTTTGTGGTGTTAACTGACCTGCACAGCGTAGTTACACAGAGAGGAGATGAGGATGTGACCCTGACGCTTTCTCAGACGATCCAACAGGGAACCCAGAGGGGCCAGTTCAACCACCTACACACAACCACACACAATACTGATATAAAACACTCATCTCATTATTGTTACATATCTAATTTGTGACTTGGATGTCGTCTTTTTGTGGGCTGTAAATTAGTAGGATAAAAAGTATGTATTAAAGTTGGTCTGTGTGTATTTGAGTGTGTCTTACCATCTTCATGGGCTGTGTGAGGACGATGCCGTACAGGCGGATGAGGTTCTGGTGGCTCAGTGAATGCATGGCATTCACCTCTCTGATGAAATCGTCCAGACCGTCTGAGTCTAACACGCTTGCCTTCAGACACTTCACAGCCACTGACAGCTAGAAAAAGAGAGGGAGAGACGACATCGAACAGAATAAACTGCTGTAATTCAAAATGATCCAAACAGCCTGTGGGCCTGGACAGGCTGAATTACTCAGAGTTCAAACGGGGACCGCTTTGTAGTTTGGGTCTTTAATTTGAGAGCCAACATCAGGCAAGTCATTACAACCATGCCAAAACACAAACCCCAACCTTACTGCACAACATGAGCTGACATTTCATACATTCTTACGGTGGCAAAAACACACGCAAATGAAGAAAACATCTTCACCAACATGACAACATGTGCAGCATTTAGAAGATTTTTGTAAAGAATACAAAATACACACTGAACTGAACACAGAAACCCTGCAAGTGGCACAGACAACAACAGAAACTGGTTCCAGGGGACACTAAAAAGTTCTATTTGATTGTGTTTTTTTCACTTTGAAGCATTTTTTCCTCTTTTTTTCTAAATGCTGCAAATATGTCGTCAGTTGGTGAAGATGTTTCCTGAAGTTGCAGTGTTGGGCTATTGTACATTTTGCTCACTCAGCAAGTTTCCAGTGATAGTTTTTTCCCCCGCACTACTGTTTCTCTGTGACTCACCACTCCGCCGTTGGGTCCGGTCCACTCTCCTCTCCGCACCACACCGAACGTGCCGTCACCGAGCCGCTCGAACAGCTGCAGCTCCGACTCTCTGATCAGGCAGGTGAGTGACGCACCCGCCTCGCTAGTGGCTGGTGGCGCGCTCGACGATGCCCCCTGAGGAAGGGGTGATGCCCCTTGGGCGTCTGCGTCGGGTCGTTTAACTGGAAACACCTACAAGCCCAGGAGCAGAGACCGGTGACTGTGGGTTTCATTTTTGTGCTCATGAACACCAAGATCTTTATTTGATTTGACCTATTTATAGGACACAACAATGCAAGGGTAAAGTGAGAACACTTTAAGATTAGATTGAATTTTATTGTCAGTGCACAGAGTACAAAGACTAACCCTCAATTTCATTAAAAACCTGTGACCTTAGTCTATAAATAACGCGTAAGTTTTTACAAAAGCGTGTACGTGAATTTGGATTGGGGAGGTTTTCAGTTTCATGTTTGAGACTGTGACTGCATTAAAGCATTGAAATTATTGTTGACTTTCAATATATTTAAACCCCTTGCACTGTCACTATGTTACTCTGAAAAATATTGTTATTAAAATGTTTCAGCGAATGTTGCAGTGTTGCAAATGGGAGTAATCGTCCATTTAAAAAAGGCACACAACATACAAGCTTAACATGCTGCTATGGTGTTTTGCTTGAATAAAAAAAAGAAAAGATATATTTTCTCATTTTATAAGATCAATTTTACAGTAATAATAAAGTTATTTAACTTTCTCAAAATATGCACAGTCACATGTGAGAATTTTGACAGCGTTGGAAGTTATCTTGTTTAAAATTTGAATAAACGTGTAAGTTATCTGATTTGGCATTCAAACTTCTGTCCAGTTGGTGGTAAAACACTGAGGTTAAGAAGTCAGAGAATAAATGTTACAAAATACAAGCCTGTGTGTGTGTGTGTAATCAAAGTAATGTGATACTTTACTGATCCTGTGAGGCCTTTTTTCATTGCAGGAGAATTGGCTCTGGTTGAGAAACTGCATATTTATATTTGTATGTGTGTGTGTGTGTTTGTGCTTGCAGGACACAGTGTTACTGCACCTTGCTCATCCAGGACTTGCGTTTATAAAGGGCTCTCCTCCTCTTGACTGCCTCCCAAAGCCTCCTCTGACCTGAACCGACACAATCACAAACAATGAATACATTTTATATTCAGATTTTATCCAGTGAAAGTACCAATACAAAGATGTAAAAAATACTGCATCAAAACTACACATGTATTATCAGCAACATGTTCTTTAAGTGTGAAAGAAAGTACTAATTTCATACCTATTATAACAAGTTTATTAGATTGTTATGCATTAATATGTAAACAGCATTTCTGTGTTGTAGCTGTTAAGTCCAGGTGCCTCCAGCACTCACAAGAGGGGTTGTGAGATGATTAATGGGAAGGGAGAGACGATAAAGTTCTGACATACAAATAAGTATTCAGATGAGTTCAGTTATTCAACCTATCTGAAAAGTTTAAATAGGAAATATGACTGCTTTTTTGTGAGCGGTTACAAGCCAAAAACTTTGTAAACTGATGGTTAAATCTGTAACAATGTGTTATATTTTATACGCTTATTATATTATCATGTAAAATCTTAAATGTAGAAAATTTCCACCTTAACTGTACGGGAGTAGAAGTATATATAGTACATGTGGTTTAGTACACATGCCTTAAAACTGTACTTAGGTACATTGCTTCAGTAAATCCTACTTAGTTACTTTCCACCTTACTTATAATAAGCAAAAATAAACCTGAATTTCTCCATGGACTTAACAGCAAGAAGTGCAAAACTCAACCCCAGTGACGCAGAACTATAAATAAAGGGAATTGGACATAAAAAAGATATTGTATATATTTTAGTCACTGTAAATGTGTAAAAACTCCAATATGCACTAAATGTCTGGAGTAAAATGGAAACAGGTAATAGTCTGAGGTACCCGGGCGTCCCATGCCGATCTTCTCCAGGTCTTCATTCTTGACGTAGTCGAAGTGCGAGAGCCGCGTGACGTTGAGCTCATCACGGAGCCGCAGGAAGTACTGCTGCAACTGCACATCTGTCAGCAACTCCAGCAGCCACTCTGTCCCCTCCTCACACTGCATCTGCACACACACACATTCACCTTGTATCACTACACATTTGTGAGGACACATGGATTGACAAGTCATTTTGCTCTAGGTGCATATTAGAATCTCATTTTAATGTGTTTAGCTTAAATTATTCAGTTATTGTTAGAGTGTTAATGGACACAGTAATGTGCAGTGGAAATGTAGCTACTCTAAATTATGGATGATAGTGCCAGCAGCTCAATAATAATAATTTTTCCCAAAATGTCAAACTACTAATTTATGCTGATTCCGTGCATAAAATTTCTTTAATTTTGCACCCATCTGGATCTCAACATGTCCCATCAATTGTGTTGTTAGTGGGAGTGAGAATAATTTACCAGGAAACAACCAAATGGCTGGAATTCACATTATTTAAAGCTGTCAATGTGTTAGTGTGGGATTTTAGTTCCAATCAATCACTTTTGAGATTTTGTTTGTCTTTTAGCTCCGCGTTGACATGTAATTATATTGTGATATTTAAGGCAAATACTACTGATATCAATATTTCTGGTTTGTAAATTTGTTAGCGGGAGATTTTACAGTAAGTGCTCTCCGGTGGACCAACAGGGTAACTGAAAAACAGTTTTCTGAAATTATCAAACATATTTTAACGGTTTAGCTCCACACGTGCACACATCCTCAGGTGAAGAAATAAAACAAAAGACAAGTGATGAAACAGTTAGTTGATCTGTGAAAAGTGAAACAACAACAATTCTGACAATCAATTTATTATTTAAGTCATACATGAAGCAAAAATGCCGACCATTTGCTGGCTACAGCCTCTAAAATTAAAAGGATTGATGTTTTTTGTGATGCATTTCTATTGTTTTTAATTTTCTTTAAATTAAGCTTTTATTCCGCTGAATTACAAGATAATTTAAAGGACCAGTGCGTACGATTTTTCGGATTGCCGCCAACTGAATAGCCCTCGCCTCACTCTCCCGTTCTAAGTGTGTAGGAGAAACTACGGTGGCCATGAAACCTGCAAAAAATGTTATCTGTTCTCGGCTACTGTAGAAACATGGCGTTTCAACATGGCGGACCCCACAGAAGAGGACCCGCTCCCTCTGTAGATAAAAACGTATCATTCTAAACAAAAAGCCAACGATTCATGTTTTCAGGTTATACACTTATGAAACGGATACTGTTATATCTGCCAATAGTTCTCGAAACACCGGACCTTTAAGAGCTTTAAAAATTATTCATGAAACAGGAATTATTCATGAGAACCAATCAGGGGTCACAAGAAGACATTTGTTTGTTTAAATGCTCACAAGCTAAGGTTGGGCAAGACCGGACTAAACGATTAATTAAAATAAAAATTAATGTCGCATAGTCTGTAGCTACACACACCACACATCACCACGTGTAATTACAGAAAGAGGAAGAATCGACTGCAGTGTCTAGCCAAACTTCAGACTTTTCATTTGGTCCCTCTCTCTCTGATCTCCGTTCTCTCTCTTGTTCCTCCTCCTCCCCCTCCTCGTCTCCTCTGCGTGTAAGGGGAGTCGCTGCGTACATATAAGCTTCCCCTATCTATGTCTGTCCTTCCCTGTTCCGTACTCTCTCTCACTCTTCAGTCCGTCTCTCTCTCCCCCCCCCCCCCTTTTTTTTTGACTCTCCTTTTCCTGTCTAGCTATTCAGAGGAGGCGTTAGCTCTGCCTCTCCGAGTCTAGTTTGCTAATCTCCTCTCGGCTCTGTGACCTTCTCTGCTCAATCGATAGGCGCATGCACGCACACATACACAAACGCAGCGGGAGGCATTTAACGCCACTCTCTCCAGCCGTATCGCCTCAAGCTATCTATAAACTCTCTCTGTCTTCCCTCCCACTGGTTCTTTCTCTCCCTGCTGACTCACGGCTTCCTGCAGCGTCGGACACCTCCATACTTCCCTTTCTCTCTCCATCCTTTCCCCTCTCTAGCTCTCTCATCTTCTTCTGGCTCAGCAGCCGAGCCCACTGTCTGATGTTAAATAATTCAGCAGCACTAACAAGAGGGTGAGGGGGAGGGAGAGGAAGAGGGAGATCTTGGAAAGGAAGGAGGGGAGAAAATGTAGATACAAATAGGTGGACAGATGGATGGGTAAATGGATGAATGGTCAGGCCAAAGAGAAATAACAGGGAGACAGTTCTCAGCATGCTTTTGATAGATGATGACATGCAGATGGTACTGCAGCTAAGCTTGACATCACCCCAAACAAGGATAAGAGTTTCTAAAGGAGAGATATATGATGTGCTAAATGTGCTTTGAGCTGATTTAGCTGGTTCCAGTGGGGTTTTATACCGTTATACCATATTATTTTTAGTGTTTTGGTCTGATGGTTGGACAAAAAAAGCAATATTAAGACATAATTTTCATTTTCAGGCCAATTTCGGAGGAAACAATTGGTAAATTATTGAAATTAATTGTTGGAAAGATACGTTGTTTCATGCCTGGATCCATTATTCATAAGCTTTATCAAGAAAAAATGTCAAACAGTTGCTGGTTTCAGCTTCTCGATTGTGAGAATTGCTGCTTTTTTCTTATTCATCACTGCAGACCAATCACACATTGGACACAACCTGTGCCAACGTCTCCCCTCTGATACAAATGTATTTTCACATGACAGACAAATCATTCTGATGAAAAGTTACCATCAGTAATAAAGCGTCAATGACACTAAAACACCAAATTACCCTTAAATGATAAATTCTATATTTAAAGTTTAAAATACACACTGTTTGCATGCATATAATAGTGTATGTTTTACCTGTCTTTGTTCAGCTTTGTTGTCCTTGTTCTTAGTCTATTTCTGTGTAAGTAGACTGAGAGCAACTTAGAACTGGAGTCAGATTGCTTGTATGCAGAGCAGGCAAAAGCACACACGTTCTAATACAGTGCAGATATTTGTGTAAAAAAAGAGAAGAATTTAACTTCTTTACTCAAGGTAAAAAATAACAAGCTCTGAAATTTAAAAAGTAAAAAGTACTCTCTTGGTTTCTCTGAAGAACATTTCTACTGGCTGCTTCGACAGGTCTTGATGTTTGGAAAGGCGAGCAATAATGCAAAATAAAAATCAATATACAATTCCCCTCACATGCATTAAAACTAAAGTAATGAGCCTGAAAATGTGAGGAGAAAGAACAGATATTTGTGTACAAATGTAGGGAGTAAAAGTAAAAGGATGGAAAATAAATATTCAAGTAAAGTACTGATACCTGAAAAGATCAAATTAAGTACAGTAACAAAGTATTTGTACTTAGTTACTTCCCACCTCTGCTTGCATGTGTGCACATACTATAGAACATTAAAGATACACACTTTAACGTGTTCTGGTAAATCATGCTGGGTAGTCCTAGTTTTAGAATGTCATTACATTTTATGGACAAAACCATTAATTCATTAATCAGAATAAAATTAGGCGATAATGAAAACTTTATAATGAATACTTGCAGCTCTTTATTTAGCCATGCTAATAGAGCTCTACAGATGGTGACAACATCAAGACAAAAAGTACTTTTACACTATTTTATGAGCAAATACCTGAAAATCTAATGACATTTCCACTTTTGTATCAACATTATACTCGCCAAATATTAACACAGTGTTTCTCAAACTTTTTACACCGCGTGTCACCTCAGAAAACATTAGGCTCTCCAAGTAACACCAATATGACCGGCGTTAGAGTACAGTAGCGTAGGCCGACTCTATTCAGCAACAGACAGGTCACACACGAGGCAGGTTTATTCCAAAAAGAAGATTATTTATCGTTGATTCCTGAATGGAACCGCTTCAAAAACCCGAGCTAACTGGGTGGAAAATGGGTATTCCTGGTCCACACTTCTTTTCCAGTTTGGAGCCACGATTGCAGTGTTTTTGAACATTTCACTGTCTTACCATCACATTTTAGCTCGTAACTAATCAAACTGAATCTTTTTTTTCCTTCATTTTAATCACACAGGCTGTTGCAGACTACCCAATCACATATTTGACATCAGGGTGACCTTTCACAAACGGATAAACTGAGGATCTGAGTGATATTACAGCATTAACTGAGCTCTTACCAGTGTGTTTGATGAAAGCTCATCCACTGCTTGCATTAAGCTTTTGCCAAAGATAAAATGTACACATAATCCAATCTGCCTGATCCCGTGAGCTTCACTCCAAATATAATTATCTCAACTATCTTACAGTTAGAACTAATATGAATGTGATTCTGCTGCCTGTTTGAACAGTGTGAGGCTTTTTTTTTTAGCGTCTGCTGAGCATCTAGAAACAAGGGCGAAAGGATAAAAGAAAACAAAACACAAATAATTGAAAGTGTAAACTGAGAGGGAGAAACTGACAAGAGTGAGACGCCGAGCTGTCACCATTCCAAACGTTTGACGGCTAACTGGTGCATGAACAACAGCAGCAGCAGTAGTAGTGTGTACAATATATTACTGCTCGTGTGTTTGTGTGTGTGCGTCTGTGGCCTAAATGAGCTCAAAATAAGAGCTTTCATCTCTCTGCGTGCACGGGTTTTATCGAGGGCGATGCTCTAAATATAGGAACGCTAAATTTAGCTTACGTTCGCAGGCAGGGAAGAGTGGAGTGTGAATGGAGCTACTTTACTTCGCTCTCATCTCAGCATCACATCTGAGATTCAGTCACGACTGTCAACAGATACACCGATGCTTCCCTGTATGATTGGGATTGATCGTGCAGCTGTATTCGTGCTTTCCTCGCTGCACCGTCCACCTGCTTTCACATCTGACTACATACAGACTCCAGGAAACAGCAGTTCCAGTTCCTCTAATTTTACAGTTGAATCAGAGGGAAAAAGGGAAAGGATTTGTTCAAATAAACCCTAAAACCTATAAGACATTCAATTTACTATCACATTTGACAAAGAAATACAGCAAATGATCATGTTTGTGAAGCTGGAACCAGAGAAAGTTTGGCATTTTTGCTTGAAAAACAACTGAAAATATTACCAGAATAAAGTATTCTACTTCTTCCAGGCCTGTGGATGTGTGAGTGCAGTAGGGACTGATACAAGGAACCAGTCTTCTCTACTCTGTGTGTGTTGACCGGGTCTCACCTTGCAGACGTCTTCTGGTGGATCAGGAGTTTAAAGCTGCAGTCAGGAGTGACTGAGGTCACCTGGAGGAGGCCATCGATGGAGAGACCCCACATCTACACACGCGTTAAGATTAAAGATTAAACCCAAGAAACATACAGAAGAAAGTCATAAAAAGTCACACAAATTATTAATAAACGACAAATACTCCAAGTAAACTTGAGCTCCGTCGTTCACAGCCAGGCAGACTGGAACCGACTGAGGAAGGGACACAACACAGACGGAGAAACAGGCAGACCTGGCAACCAAGAGCAGGTTTTATGAACCAGGGCCCACACACTTTCTGTTTTTTCATTTTAATAACACATTCATTGTTATTGCTTTTTACTAGCAACCAGTGTTGGGCAGGAACAGTAATAATATTACAGTTACACCTCCAAAAAAGAATTAGTTGCAACATTACTTTTCTTGTCACCGCCTACTGATTTGAAATCCAACCATCCAATCACATGCTTGGATTCATTTTTTGTAATCGTGGAGAGAAACTAGTTTGGAAGACGGAAACATTCAGCAGCTGGAAATATTCACATTACTTTGATTACAACCAACAAAACTGGATTTTAATGGTCAAACGTCTGAATTTTAGGGAGACACAATTACCAATTTTGTGG